TAATAATAACGGTGTGGATAAGAGAAGTTAGAAATGGAGATGCATCAGAATGAATTAGACAAGGAAGGGCGCTATGGATGTCAATGAAGAAACGGAGAGGTAGAATGGTAGGACGTCTTCTGAGTCATGAGTAGTTAGAAAGATACCGGGTAGAAGAAGGAAGTAGGAGTAGAAAGGGACTGTATTCGTAAATAGTTAAAGATGTGGTATGATCCGATCTTTGGGAAATGTGAAGATTGGCTCAGCATAGGAAGAAGTGGTGATGGTGTCCAACCAAACTTCGGTTGACCCTATGGTGATGATGGAATCAAAAAAGGTATCTGTAATAGAAGAGCCCCTTCATCAGGTTTTTTACCTTGTTATGAGAGGAAAGAGGACTCAGTACTTATGCAAAAGCTTCTAAGGAATCTGGATGGGTAGTGTATGAAGTATAAACATGGTCAGGCAACACTTGCATGGGCGTGGTGAGGGAGCAGCAATAAAGTCTCGATGGGTTACAGAGGGCAGCTGACAGACAAACTTCTTATTAGTTATTGTTAGTATGGGTCAGCTAATTGCTGCAAAAAACATGAAATATAATGGATATCAATGTGGGTAAAAGAAGTTAGAAATAGGGATGCATTAGAGTGAATAGGAGAAGGAAGGGGGCTGTAGATGTCAATGAGGAAAAGGAAGGAAAACGAGTAGAATGGTAGGACACCTTCCGAGCCATGAGTAGTTAGGTAGATACCTACTAGAACAAGAAAATAGGAGTAGAGAGGGACTGTATTAGCAGATAGTTAAAGATGTGGTATGATCCAACTTTTGGGAAATGCGAAAATTGGTTCAGGATAGGAATGAGTGATTGCCCTGTCCAACCAGACTTCGGTTGACCTTGTGGTGATGATGGCATTAAACAAGGCATCTGTAATAAAAGAGTCCCTCCACCAGGTTTCTTACCTTGTTATGATGGGGGAGAGGACTCAGTGCTTATGCAAAAGCTTCTAAGAAATCTGGAAGGGTAGTGTATGAAGTAATTCATGAACATGGTCCAGCAACACTTGCATGGGCGTAGTAAGGGAGCAGCAATGAAGCCTCGAAGGATTGCAGGGGGCAGCTGTGTGTAAGGCCGGTACAGACATGGAAGACTGGTGTAGGCGAAGAAACCATCACTTTACAGGAGATATTCTTGGTGCGAGAAAAGGCGCAATGCTTTCGGTGGCAATTACACAGTGGGCTACAGTGCAGGTGGTTAACCCTTTTTACATACTTCGTGAAGCATAAAGCTATCATTGGTGATAAGCGTGGAGTGGTCAGACACATTAGGGGGTCTGCATATTTAAGGTGAAGGTGCAAATGCAGAGTTGCGTCGAAATTACTCGGCTTAGCTAGGAGGCCGAAGAATGCTCGGTGGGAAGAAGACAAGACGAAACAGATATCATTCGGTTTACTCTGGTGTAACAGATGACCACTGGAATGCCCATATTGGTATCATGGCTACGGAGAGCGGAAGTCTTTCCCGTCAGTTAGCGTCAAGTTCGAGAGGGAATTTGATTGATAGCCGATATGATGAGTTAAGGGACGCTAGACCTTTTGCATAGTTGTCAACCATGAACATCTCAGGGTTTATATAGGCCCAAAACTGAAGATTATTGACCTCGTTAGTCCTCTAACAAATTCGGTGGCTTCCTGAGAAGACGTCAAGGAGTCTCCTACCGTCGTGGTAGATTATCCTATAAGGCATATTCTAGATATTAATACATATATATTTATAGTATAAACTCCATTAGTTGTAACTTAAAGCGGTTCGATATTCAGGCTTGATGGTCGTGGTCCAGCATTAACGGTAAGTCCACGGATGAACTTTTCGCTAGCTGCTGTGCTTGATATCGCCATGACATGAAACGTGACTAGAGGTTTAATCACAAACTCGATGTCCGCAAAATGCCAAAAATTTCGGTCAGGACTGTAGTTATTTAGAGGTTGAAAAAAACCGATTCCAATTCAGAGAAATCTTTTTCAGAAGATCATAAATACCAATAAATTGGAAAATAAATTAACTGTTATCCTTATATCGGCAACGTGGTAAGAAAAGCGTAAAAATGATAGAAACTTGCTGCGTCTATATTTAAGTCATTTTGTTATAAATACTATTTTGCGTTTGAATAAAATGCTGTATACTTCTCGAAATGAAATTGATTTTGTTTATGCATATTGTTTGCTTTCAAAAATATTGGTGATTTTCCCATTTAAGCATGTATTACTTAATTAACGACGTGTTACAGCGTAAAAAGATAATAAAATCAAAGGTTATCGTTCCACACCTTTCAAAGTTCTATTGGGTAATATGAACTCATTACCATCACGTATCCGTCTATCAGCTGTTTGAGGTTTTGGGAAAAGAGATCCGACCGTAAAGATATTATCGTATATGGAATTATCCACCTTGAAAAACCGATATGTTTAATTGATTTTAATAATCTAAAGAAGCTATCAAATTAGAAAACGTTGCCTTCCTTTTTAGACAGGTCTGTTTATAAAACCAATTGTATCAAATTACTGAAACCTTCTAGTATCATTTGTATCTAGATAAAGAGGCTGCATCCTATTTTTTTTTTATTATGTACTTGCAGTAGTTTCACTGTAATGACTTGTTAAATAAGTTTTTTTCGGATTTTATTACTTTATTGCAGGGTGTAGAACATGAACATTTTTTGTGTATGAAATACAGACCAATTTAATAGTATCGGGTTGTTCGGAAAGTCATTTCGTTTTTTCAGGACAGAGGATTTAATTGTATTCTTTTGCACCCAACTTCACATTTAAGCCGTATAATTTTTATATGCTTTGAGAGCTCATATAGCAAGGCTTGTGTGTGAAAAATTCCAATTAATTCTACGCAGTAGTTTTTGGTTGGTGCCCTTTTAAATATGGAGAGCGATAAGCAGCATTTTCGACATATCTTACTGTTTTACTACAGAAAGGGTAAAAATGCTGTTCAAGCCAGAAAGAAATTGACTGATGTGTATGGAGAAGGTGTGTTGACAGTACGCCAGTGCCAGAACTGGTTCGCTAAATTTCGATCCGGCAATTTTGATGTCGAAGATGCACCACGTTCGGGAAGGCCGGTTGAAGCTGATAAAGACGCGATAAAGGCATTAGTTGATGTGAACCGGCGAATAACAACACGTGAGATCGGATTGAGGTTAAATTTATCAAATTCAACAGTTTATGACCACTTGAAAGGCCTGGGATTATCCTCGAAGCTCGATGTATGGGTTCCCCATGTTCTCACAGAGAGAAATCTGTGTCGCCGCATTGACGTCTGCGATTCGCTTCTCAAACGTCACGAAAATGATCCGTTTTTGAAGCGCATCATCACTGGGGACGAAAAATGGGTTGTATACAACAACGTCAAACGCAAGAGGTCATGGAGCAAAAAAGATGAACCGGCTCAAACCATTTCCAAAGCCGATATTCACCAAAAAAAGGTGATGCTGTCTGTTTGGTGGGATTTTAAAGGAATCGTTTTTTTTTAGCTTTTACCGGATAACACAACGATTAATTCGGAAGTCTACTGTCATCAGCTGGACAAACTGAATGATGCACTTCAACAGAAAAGGTCAGAACTAATCAACAGGAAAGGTGTAGTGTTTCACCAAGACAACGCGAGACCTCACACAAGTTTGGTCACTCGCCAAAAGCTTTTACAGCTTGAATGGGATACAATGCTACACCCACCATATTCTCCAGACCTGGCACCATCGGATTATTATTTGTTCCGGTCACTCCAAAATTTTTTAGACGGTAAAACCTTCACCTCAAATGAGGAGGTCAAAAACCTCCTCGATCAGTTTTTTGCCAGCAAAGACCAAAAATTTTATGAGCGTGGAATTATGCTACTACCAGAAAGATGGCAAAAGGTGTTGGACCAGAACGGTCAATGTATAATTTAATAAAGTATTTGTTTATTATACGAAAACTGTCTTTCATTTCCACAAAAAAAAACGAAATGACTTTCCGAACAACCCTATAGCTACTGCGGCTGACATCCTTAGTGGAAGTGCTGCGTTGACAACGTGAAAGTAGATTATATCTCGAAGTCTCCGCAGCGATTGGGTTTCATTCTACTTCTTCTATTACTTCATTCCACTATGGATTCCGGCCGTGAAAGCCTTTGTTCTTACAGATCAATTTAATCTTAGTAAAACATTCTCGTGTTCTTTGATTATTACTTTAAGAGTTCGACCACTTTGTCCTATGTACAAAGCATCATGCTCTTTACAATTTCGTTGGTGTATTTCTGTTCAGTTTTCAATTTTCCATAAAAGTGTCGGAAAAGACGTGTGCGCGTGTGGTACGGTATTGTGTAACCATATAATTTACCCCCTTAAATGGGGCAGACGAGCCATTGCTCACGTCATGGTTGGTTTAACCGAGAACAGCGGTAGTTGGCAACAGTGCCGATAAAACGCAATGTCCATAAATCAAAATATAAATCATGTAAAGGTACACGCATTATCAGGCCTGCTCAGCTACGTTTCGGGGGCGACTGAGGATGGATGGATATGGGTGGGTGAGTGGGTGGTTGACTGGAAGTGTACATGTACATATATGGATGTGTATATGGGTGGACCGCGACGTTTGAGGGTGCGAACAGCGGATATATTGTATGGGGCGTGGAATTACACTTCGACTTCAGTAAGTTGAGATTAGAATGATAAATGACTTTACAAAGTATCAGCATCGTCTATACAAGCTTCTTTCCATACGATTGTTGGAAATATAGATACCTACATAAATAAGCAAATTGTTCGTATAAAAAAAAAAATACAAAGTGGAAGATCAAAACTTTTGCGTAATACATTCCAAGATGGTGGTGCTAGTGGCCGGGAAGTCTCTCCGACTTACATTCTTGTACAAAGCTGGAGGATAGGGTGGAAGGCACTCTTTATACTCTATTTAGGAATCATAGGTATATGTGTTAATTTCAGTTTTTATTTGTGTATTTTTTGTTGCAGAATTAATGGGTTTCCCCAAATCGGCAATGTTTTCGCTCTGCATTTCTGTACGTCTTGTTGGTAAGTAATTTATTGATTTAAACAAGCGTTGTATTTTATTATCGATCGATTTCGTCAACTGGAACAACAAAATATGGTCATGTCAGGTCAAAAATGAGCTCTAATTCCCTAGGAATTGTACTTTGAATTTGTTTTGTGAATGTTTACACGATATTGTTGATTGAGTGATGAAGAGTGGCCCCCAGGTGTCACTACCTGCACTTAAAATGATAGATGTGTTGTGCGTACTCTTAAAAATTCATCCTTTTTTGTGTTGTTTTTCGTAAAAATGATGAACGATGATTCCCGTACTTGTCGAACACACTTCCATACGAGTGATAATCAGGTCGATGAACGAATCATTCCGAAATATGGCAGTGTTCTGATCGCATGAATAAATCCATGTATTTGTACGTCATGTCGGTCGTCAGTTTGTGGCACAAGCAGCAGGCTGACAACAAAACAAATGAATGTTTATTAAAGCGAAAATGGACGATGTGTGGCAAATGAACGGTTGTGACCGACCCGACGCAAAGAGAGACGCCATCGTCAGCCAGTTTGCCGGTTGTTTTTCATATTAGCGATGATACGTCGACACGGATCGCTAGGCCATGAAATTATCGAAAATTCAAACAAAATTAACCGCAGAAGTTATTAATCAAATGGAGGAAAATTATGGGAAATTAATGCCCAACTAAAATATACATATGCATAGTGTATTGCGTTAAAGAGATAGGCTATTGATATTCATTTGGTGTTTTCGACACAAATGAATAGAAAACCCAAATAAAAGATCTGACGCAGGATTTTTACTATGAAATTTTCTGTCCCATCAACGCAATATAAAAAGTTGTAAAAAAATCGGTTATCTGTAAAGTCGGTTTACTGACGATAGTTGAACGTGACAACGTCATAAGAAAATACTGATGGAATGGTTTCATTTTTCAGAAGAAAATTTTAATTTTATTTGTTTGATAGATATTTTGTATGGATATAGAGAAGGAGGTAAATGGAAATGTATTAATGTAGAGCAGCTGTCCACGCGGACGCATCGCTCACTCAAGTAGGAGAGAGACAGATGTCGAACGCAGCCGAACGCGGAGGCCGATTGTGCCTCTTTGTCGCTCGTTCCGCGCTCTCGCTTGCACTTCAAGCCTTAAATGGAACGCCTCAGAGCGAGGTAACGCCGCATGAGTCATGTTTTTTCGTGCGTGCAGCCGGCTCCATCGAATTATAAGACGTCACGTCAAAAAGCAAAAGGATTTCGCAGCCAGTTGGCGAAGTGGTGCTGTCCTTTCATCTCCGATACTGGATATGGCAGTTGGCAGTCCACAACCGATGAGAGTCTTTAGATCCGAATCAATCCGCTGTAAAAAAACATTAAAATGATAGGAACCTTGTCTTTTTTGTAGTACACTCAGTAGTTTTACAAATAAAAACGGGCGAATGTTTTTGGCGCACATTTCCGGGAATATTTCTGGAGATAGACAGTGTATCATAGTGATAACTATTTGTCTTTTGACATGGGTGTCTTGACCTAAACGATAAGAGTGTGGGATGCCCCTGTTCTACCCCTAATACAGTCAATTTTCATATATGAAAAGAAACTTTTTGCTAAAACAATTTCATCAAATATGAATGCAACTTAATTTCATTTCTAAATATTAAACTCGAAAAACATCACTATTCGGATAATGATTCTGGAAAAACGGTAAGAAAGGTGCGTGAAATGCCTTAAAGACGATCAGATTAGCTTTTAAAAGACAAGGTTTTTTTCGAATTTTATTAAGCTATCTAGAATATATTAACAATCGAAACCTGCAAACAAGCCGTGACCTATAAAATTTCTAATGACAGGATGGAACCAACTAAAGGAATCCTAATTTCGTCATCGTATGTTAGTTGGAAGTAAAAAATTGGATCGGTTTAAGTGTCTGAGTTCGATATTCTCGTATGTACCTATAGGTGTTTCAATCTTATCTATCAATATAAAGATAGATGACGAAAAATTAGAAGTAGCCCATTTTAGGTATCTAGGAAGTCAGATAAGTCAGGACGGAAGGAGTAGTAGAGACATAAAGCAAATAATAGTGCAGGGTTGAGTCGCCTTCAATAAAAAGGTTCACTTCTATGCTCGCGAACGGTTATTTTAGAAATTCGAAAAAGATTGTTTAAGGTGTATGTTTGGAGCGCGGCGGTGTACGGGTGTGGAATATGGAAAGAGTGGAGGTGCGTGTCCAACCAGTCTTTAGGACTGACGATCTTATGATAATGAGATATTTGGCAGTATTTCTAAATTCTGGACTTGTTGAATTATATTGTAAAATTCAAAACGCATTCAAAGGTGTAAACAATTTTGTTCTGTCATACAATTAACGAAATAAATAATAGGTACCTATGTACAAAATTAGAAAAAGGGTCCGATATATCCACTTATAATTTTAATTTAGATTTGGATATATGAGAGATATTCACAATAGTTTATTCTCATGTCAGTAAAATCGCTTGTACCAAAGTATCAATAAGTAGATGTCATCCGGTTTTGTGGGGTTATACAATTAAGACAGAACTCTCGACACAACAGCTCCGTGAAGTATCCGATTAGTTCTGCGAGTCTCTGACGTGATGAAGTGGGTAGTTTAACAATAGAGGCGACAAAAGTGAATCCTGCGATTTAAATAACGCCGGGGACGGAAATGTCCCCGATACCATTAATATTCTCCTTAATTTTGACGCTTGTTAAACATGCAGTTGGGACACAGTTTATTGTATCAACGAACAATAAAATGAAACCTTCTATTTTTTTAACGAATTAATTCAACTGCAAAATTAATGTTTTCATTTAAATAATAAATACATCATATATTACAGTGACACAATAATTTCAATTAATAAACCCGACCAGCAAGGCTGGTTGAGTTGAGCTTGTTTATGATTTCTTTAAGTTGAGATGCAGATTCTTTTGAGCAATAATATGTCGTTGCCCATGTAGTTTCCTTTGATATTCATACCTTTTTTTAGACCAGTTAACATATGTTTCATGATACTTTGAAGAACAGTTATAAAAATATTGAGGATAAAGGGTAGCCCTGTCTTACATCTATCAACCGCTATTTATTTCCCGACCTTTTCTATCCAATTTTACTCAACTTACGCTTTTCTTGTAGATGTCAATTGTCTTCCGTGGTGCGTGTTGGCATTCTTGTAGATCTTTCCATATTGAGAAGAGCAATGTAGATTATAGCTATTAGAATTATCTCCTACATAACAGTTTTAATATTGTTGATATACTGAATAGCTTTCGTCTAAATCAATTCTCATCATCAGCTAACAGTTTTTATTCTGTTCTTCCTCGAGGAGGGGAAATCTTCAAAAGACACCCACTGGAAGGAAGTAGTATCGGATTCGCCGAAGCGTTTACCTACTAAAACCCCTCCTCGAGTAGGGAGATCAAACCGTAGGTTTTACATTCCAGGAAAGGTACTGTGGAAAATGTTGGGAACGGGAAGGGGATTGAATGTTCGAGAAGAATAATTATTTTGGGGGGAGAAGTGAATCAAATGGAAATCGGTGGCCTACCTCGGATGAGTTGAGTGGGTACTCGCGCTAAAAAGCGAAACTAAAATTGAACTGGTGGGCGGCAGCTCAGAATAGAAGGTGGCAGAGCCTTCTGAAAGGGTAGTTAGCTTTAGAGGCGAAATCAGAAACTGTCGAAATGGACGGGCTTGAGTGACTTGGCACTGAGGTCCCAAGATTTGACGAGAATCTGATTGTAGCCTCGGGGAGCGAAGCTAGATCACTTTCTTTCAAAATTTGGACGTATCAGGTGTAGTCAAGTGCGGAACGAAGAAACTTCATGTAAGTGTCCTGGACGATTTAAAGGTGGTGCAGATGGACGCAGCCTCAGATAGGAATGATGTAGGAGCAGATGGTTATGATGATTACGTTTAACCCGCGTATTTTGGTTTGATGAGAGATCGAGTTGTTTTGGAAAAAGAGCTTGAGGGAGATGAAAGCCCCTAGAGTCTTTGAATGTATGGCTAGGATGTGCTTTCGCCAAGTGAGTGTGTCGAAGATACGCCAAGGTATGTTACGGAGTGGTTCCATTTGATTAGGTCTGTTAACAGTAAAAAAAAACTTTTGGGTGTTTCATTCCCACCAGCCAGTAATGCTGGTGGGCGGGCAATCCCTCCGGACTATGCCGGAAGGTAGGGCGGAAGGCCCTCTTCAGCCTGCTTTCAGGAATCGTTGGAATGGGTGGGTGGTGGTTCGGGTGAGAAAGATGAGACGGACGAAATGAAGACAGAAGAGAATGAAAGATTATTTATCTGTGGAATATTACTGCCCCAGCATTTGCTTAAGTGATCCAAGGAAACCATAGAAAAACTTGGACTAAGGCAGACGGACCCGGAATCGAACCAGCGTCCTCCCGAATGCTAAGCAATGGTCTAGACCTCTAGGCCATGCCGCTCAGTCAAAAACTACCACCTATATAAGCAACATCATTTTGTGGTGGGGATATTATTCTGTTTATTCACCAATCGTGCTACGTATCAATGTGCGATTGCGCAGCATTTCGTGACCGGTAACAAAGTAGAGCTAGGGAAAGGCCACACCATAAGCGATCGTAATTAAGATAACATTACTGTTAAAGAAATAAAATCATTACATATCAGGATAATCTGAAAGCTTTCAGATCAGATATTATTTCAAGATTAATACAAAGTTGCATATAAGTACCAAGTCGGTAAAAGAAGAGAAAAATTAAATTCAGGCGCCCGTCTATTGACGGCAACTTTATGGTAGCGACAGCTGAAAAAATGTGGTAGAAATCTAGTCGGAACCAGGTCGTGTTTAATTACGTTAGCGATGAGTACTTGACAATTTATCTGTATGTATGTATGCGTGTGTGTGTGTGTGTGTATGTATAATGGACGGCGGTGAACAGGCAATGAACAGGCAACTCGCCGTAAAAGTGTAGACGTTCATCTGTTATCAATTACACCTTCCATTGCCTTCTT